TTTTTTTTTTTTTTTCAAATTTCAAATAATGCTGTGAAATGTTTTATTTCCCATAATGTGTCTTGATTATTATTAATTTTTTTAAAATATTATATTTTCACTATAAGGAATAGTATGCATTTTTTAAAGCTATTTTTTAAAATCATTTTCAAAAAAAGTTTAAAAATGGGCCCCTGTTATTGTTTGGTAATAAAACAAGACATGACAGGTAATTTTTGTTATTAATGGGTTAGTTCAAATTAAAAGTTTGTATTTCTTTTATCTATTTTTAATTTGCTATTGGCCATGTTTTGAATGAATCCAGTCCTTTCTAGATATCCATTTTTTTATTTTAAAAAAATGATGCATTTTATGTGTAATTGTTTGATGTAGTTAAAGATAAAAAAAATTCTGCAAAATCAGTTGTAAATATTTTTGACTTCAGCTTAATCAAATGTTTTGAATATTATTTTTAATAGTAATTTTTTTTATCCATTCTACTCTAATTATCTGTAATTTATTTATATAGATTTATGTACTATGGGCAAGAGAGAGATATTATTTATGCATAAGATTATTAAATCAATTGACACTAGCCAAGTTTCAAGCAATTACATGAATGGTTATAAACAATTATATATATAGAAATATTATAGGCAATTGATGTGGTGATACGTCATTTTTACAACTAAACAGATCTTTTGTATTTAGTTTATTCTTGACTCATAGGCATAGCTAACGGAATGGATAGAAATTGCTTGACTACAGATTGTTTTTTTTTTTTTTTTTTTCAATGTTCATTGTTAAACTAGAAGAAAAAATAATTTTTTCTGGGCATCATCACCATTTTGAGCCAAATCATTGGTACAAAGGTAACAAAAAAATTAGGGAAATTGAAACTTTTAACTTTTACAATTTTTAAAAATTTGAATTTTTTTTTTTTTTTTTTTTCTTAAAGAAATTATTATTTTGAAATAACTTAGCCATGTTGTGTATTTCATAAAAAACTGAATGAAAATAGATAAAAATTTAACTCTGTATGTCAAATAATTCTCAAATTACAGCTGTTTAAAAATTATAAAACTGTAAAAAATAATGAATTTTCAAAATTTCAAGCATGTGTGCAAAAACTATTAAACTTTTTCAACACAGATTATATATAATTGATTTTTAAGTCTATTGCCTTATTAAATTTATTAAAGTCTGCACATATGAAGCACCCATTTTATGTCCTCTAAAGTAGTTTATAATAATATGAAGTACAAAAAGTAAATTATATTTTATTTGTATTCAACTAATAATTTAGTAAATACAAATATGACAAAACTGTTTTATGTCTTGAAATTTATCGTTTTTTTTTTTTTTTTTTTTTTTTTTTTTTTTTTTTTTTTTTTTTTTTTTTTTTTTTTTTTTTTTTTTTCAAGGAAAAAATCATTTTTTAAGCAAAATTTTTTTTACATTTATTTCATGAAATTTGATCCGAACATACAAATTATTATTGAAAAATTAGGATGTCTTGGGTATTAATAACTTAATTACAATTGAAATCAAAAGCCAGTGTTCATTTATTTTATACCTAATATATATTACTGGTCATGTATTGACTGAATCCAGCCTTGCTTAAATGTCCATTTAAATATGAAATAGAAGTGAGACATTACATGTGCAAGAATTTAATGAAATGAAATATAAAGCTCATCTACGAAAAAGTTGCTAATTTGTTTGCTTTTTGTTTAATGTTTCTAAATACTCTTTTCAGGGTGATTCTGCATATGGTAGTGAAAATAGTCTTCGGAGACATGGCTCGGCTGTATCTGTTGGATCCACGAGTCTTTCCAATGCTAGTATATCTTCTTTCAAAAAAGCTCGTGGTTTAAGAGTAAAACTTGCTGAGATGGAAACATTCAAGGATATATTGTGTCGTCAAGTGGATACCTTACAAAGTTATTTTGATGTCTGTGCAGAAATGTTGACTTCTGATGAAAATCATAAAGATAATGATGTTCATAGTAAGTGTTTTTTTTTTTAATATTCAATTGAAATGCAATTTTAATTTTCCTGTAATATTAAAACTGAAATCATGATCACGAACATTGGTAGAGGCTGCTGATAGAGTTAAATGTTCCCAACTTCAGTAGATTTATATTGGTTTATTCATATTAGTTTTTAATTCATTAAAACAAAAGCTTTTTACTTACTTTTTAAAGTTGTTCAGAATCCTTTTCAATATAAAACTGACTCACAATTCAATATATTCTACACTATATTAAGAGGATGTGCTCTTCTTCATATATAGGGGCCCTAGTTATGAGTTAAAATTAACAATCACCACTGGCTACAGGGCTAGTAAATATAGCAAATGTTGACAATTAAAAAATTGCTTGCTGATTGCCGCATTTATTGTTGAAAATTCGCCTAATGTGCATTTTATTATAATTTTTCCTTGATAAACATGGAATTATTATAATATTCTGAAAATTTCTTCATTTCACGCTTAAAATGAACAGCTGGTGCTCAAAACCTTAATACATCTAGGGTATCCGCGCACCTGGAAAGTCATGAATTTTGGTATTGAACAAAATTTGTCATGATTTTAAAAAAGCAATGAATTTAGGCGCCAAAAAATCTAATTATTAAACTGGAATTTACCCCTTCCCCAATTTGTTGGTGTTCGGAATATCTGAATTCGTAACAAACTCCCAACTCCCAGTCATATTTTATTAAAATATAAAATGTTTTTATCATGCTCTTTAAAAATTGTGTTCTTTCAAAAAATGAAAGAAAAAAAACATCATTTCTTGAGCAAATTATCTTTTAAACTTCTGTGATTTCAGAATTTTTTTTTTTTTTTTTATCAATTTTAAATTCTAGCTGAAGCAAGCCAGTGATTGGCGAATTATTTTTATTCCGAAATGAGAACAGAAAAATCAGAAGTATTTCTTTCCTTTCCCTTGAACAAGAAAAGTATCTTTAGAATATAATTCTGCGGAAAAAGGAAAAAAAATTACTTTTGAGCTATTTTATTGCTTGAAATCTTTATTTTCTCTGTTTTTTAAATTAAAAATCTATAATTATGAGGATGCAGAGTATAACAGTTTTTGTTACACCTATAATTTCAATTAATGTTATGATGCTTTTTTAAATTTACTATTGTGTTTTTGTCGGAGAAAATAGTAGCTTCGTAAAGTCATGAAAAATTCTTGGAATTAGTCATGAATTTGAAATTCTAAAATGTAGCTATATCCTTGGAAGACGAAACACTTTTAGATTATCTTCTAGAAGAGGGTGCAAGTGGTTAACGAATGTCTTTTTGTTTTTTAAAATTTATTTGTGTTATTTTCCCAGATAACTTTTCTCCTTTTTTGAATAAATTATTCATACGAAGTGGCACCTAATTCTGAATCATATTAGCTGATTTATAAATTTTTCAAGTTGATTTTATTTATGTATAATTCTCTGTAAGCTTTGTAACACTTGCTCCAATTTCTACTCACAGTAATTAAAATGCTACACTTTTCTTGAACTGATAACACAGCTTGCTTCCATTTATAAGAAGTGGAAAATGTGTTGATTAAACTAAAATAATATTCTCCAAATGAAAAGATGGATGAAAGAATGAAAATTATGATTTTTATTATTAAGCGAAACTAAGGTAACCAACTTCACTGATTAACAAAACATTCATTTATTACCCACATGAAAAAATATAGAATTTTGAAGGGGGGGAAATAAAACTAAGTATGTGTGTAAAAAAAGAAAATATGGAAAGTACGTCTGTAAGAGAAAAAACACACACCTACTTTGGAATTAAATTCAAAGTATTTGGTTGAAGAAAATTTGAATAATCTAGGTTCATCTACACCTAGTTTATTTCTGTTTTCTTTTGATTTCATGATATCAAGATTTGATTGTATAATCTTTGAATTATTTTTATGATTACACTCTTATTTAAAATTGTTGTCTCAAATTTTATTAATGAATAGTTATTTTTGTTTTAAAAAAAATTTATTTTTGTGCATTTGTGTTTACAAATTATTAAAAAAAGAATTTTAATTCAATTTTTTTTTCTGTATTTAGTAAATCTTATCTATAGCTTTTTATCAGTAAATGATATAATTCCTATGCTGTAATAAAGAAAGTAGCTACTTTTGATTCTTCATTTATCTTATCTAAGTGCTAAAGTCTTCTTCAGGTGATCACAAAAGAATATTGTATACTCAAATTCTTTTTTGCTGTGTTATGCAGAAAAGAATAACTGAAACTCTATCAACTTTTTTTATTCTATTTATTTGCTTAAAAAGCATTTTTACTAAGATTTGATAAAAAAAGATTTAATAAATTTGTTCGATTTTTACTTTGAAAAACTACACTGTATTTTTATTCTTTAAATCAAAACAACTGTATTTAAATAAGTTATCATTTATTTAATATTTATAGTGGATGATATTGATGATGATTATGATGAAAATATTGCCCTAGGAAGTGATCAAAAGAATAGTGATTCACCTACACATCGTTTTAAAGGTAAAAATAATTTGTTCCATTTGATTTGGAAAATTTTATTATAATTTAAAAATTCAATTTATATTAAACTTGAGATTATTAGATGATAATCATCTTAAATGATAAGATTATAAAATGTTGATAATTGTGGTTTTGAACCAGCAATCTTACTATGTGATTTATTGAGGCAGCTGATTTGAAGTGACAAACTTCAAATCAGATTTCTTTTTATTTGGGTGTTTAGTCTAAGATTTAAATTTTGCCAGTTCTTATCTTGGAGACTGAATTAATTGATGATATTAAGAATCTTATTTAATTGGAAAAAATTTTTAGTCTTGCTCTTGCTACTCAGTGTTATCAAATTTGTTTAGAATGCATTTCGAACAAATCACTTTTTCTTTTTTTTTTTACTTAATATTGTTTTATTATATATTTTATAAAGTACACCAAAACTGATTAAATATAAAATTACCTCAGCAGTATTTTTTACACAGTCTCTGTATTAACTTTTTAAAACAACTGTCAACAAATGTTTTTAATTACCTATTAAATTTTAATTTAAAAATGTTATTCTGTATGCACTTTTCTAAAACTCTACATGTTAATTAATTTTTGTGTATAAAAATGTGCAATATTTTGCTAGGGTATAGAATCCCTTGTTTGCAATTATTCACCAAAGAATTGCAATTGTTAGAGATTATTTTGCAATCACCTTTGTTTTCTGAAACAAAACAACTGCTTCTTCAAAAACTGAAATTACTCTCCTTTTTTTTCCTCTCTTTTTTTTTTTTTT